AATAGTTGATGGAATTCACTCCTTTGTCTCTTGCCCAGTCCTGTCCTGTTGACAAGTCCCCATATGGTAGTCCCAACATTTATACTCTTGCATGGGCAGTCACTCCAAGTGTTTATTATTTTAGGAGAAGCAGAAGCTGTTGGATGAAGTGGATGAACTCACACACAAACTGAAGGAAGAGCAACAGAACAACCAGAAACTGTCAGATAAACTCTTACACAAGCAGTACCAGTTTCAGAAAGAAAAGGAAGCCACTCAAGAGGTGAGGTTTTTAAAATCTTTCTTCCCTGCCTTTTTGCCAAGTGTACTCCTTCATTTGAGTGTTTTTCAGAAACTTAACATGATGATTCCTGTGTTTGGAATATTTTTCCTCTTCTTTGGCAACAAAATTATGCCACCCTTACCTAGTCAACTAACTTTGATCGAATTTTTTTTTTTTTGTTGCCTAGCTTATAGAAGATCTGCGGAAGCAATTGGAACACCTACAACTCTTCAAGCTAGAAACAGAGAAGTCACGTGGGCGTTCAAGCAGTATTGGGCTGCAGGAATACAACTGCCGTAATAGAGAGACTGAGCTGGAGCAAGAGATTAAACGGCTTAAACAAGTATAAATGACTATGGTTATGTCACCCATCTTTGCAGTAAAGCAAACATTACCTGTGTTTATGCCTGTAAAATAATCAGTGAATAATGTACTTCCTCTCCCTTTATCTAGGATAACGAAAATCTGAAGGAGCAAAATGATGAGCTGAATGGACAGATTATTAACCTGAGTATCCAGGGAGCAAAGAGTCTTTTCACAGCCTCTATCGCAGAATCACTGGCTGCAGAAATCAGCTCTGTTTCTAGGGATGAGGTAAGTTTATCAGAATTGGACTTTGCCTTTTGCTTTTTTTTTTAAAAAAGCACAACAATTTTCAATTTAATTAATGGTACCCAAAACTCAAGTGAAATTGTTTTGAGACGTGACCAGAGGATCAGGGAGCAGGGTAGATTTGCTTTGGTGTGTGTATGGAATGCCTCATGCTGTCTCCAGCCATTGATGCTTAAATGCATTCTAACTTTCTCTACTGCCATTTTTCTGTCTTAATTACAGCTTATGGATGCAATTCAGAAACAAGAGGAGATCAACTACAGGCTGCAGGATTACATTGACCGAATTGTTGTGGCAATCATGGAGACCAACCCTGCAATTCTTGAGATCAAACATACTGAGGCACAGTCCTAGCCTCTCTCAGGACCAGTATACAAACAGTAGCTCTTCTCTCCTGTTTGAGTGTAAATTGAGGCAATTTTCTTGCAGCAATCTTTGTCCAACCTTTGAATCATGGACCTGTGCAACTCCTGCACAACTTCAATTCTGTCATCACGCCAAGGTACGAAAGGCATTTGTAATTTCCTACAGGTTTTTGTTCCCCTTTTGTGGGTGGGTTTGATTGTAGATTACAGTATGGATGGCTGCAGTGTCAGTTTGGACTGCCCAAGTTTGTTTTTTTTTCCAGTAATGCAAAATGCAGCGAAGTAAGGTAATGGATTATTAATGGTAGGGAAGACCAGCACTATAATACATGTAGCAGGTTGTCAGGTGACTGTTCACAGGATCCGAAATAATACTGGCTGATGATGTATCCAGTGGCACCTGCTGCATTTCTCAATCCTGGCCCCTTCTTTTTTTCCTGTTTTGACTCATTGCACAATGAAAAGTTCACACTTGCCATGAACCTAATATTTGCCCTGCCAGGATCATCTTGCACAGCACAGCTGTCTTGCTGAATGAAGCCACATATCACTAGTTGTCTCGTTCAAAATTAAATTGCTTGATTGAAGTGCAGGGGTTTTAAAGTCCAGCATCGTCCAGTCCTCATTTCAACCTGGCTGTTTTTTTTTTGTTTTTAAAGCTACAATTTCAACTTCTGCCTCTGTTAGACTGGTTCTGATGAGCTTGAGTTGAACAAGATGTGATACAACTTTGATCTGAAACTGCTGTGAAATCATTAATAAACTTCAGGTAATGGGGCAGGTCTGACAGTGAAAGTACTTCACTAGCTGCACCTTGGTCTGACTGTTCAGTTATGTCCTCTATAATCCCACCACTCCCCCACCTCAATACATGAAATAGATGTATGCGTGTAAATGAACATAACACACTGTCACTCATTGAAGCACTCCTGTAACACTGCTTTGTATCAAATAACTTTATGATAACACTATCCTGTAACTTACTCAAGTTGTTTGCACACTTAGCTTTGCTCTTTGTCTTGATGTTATGTTGCGCTGATACTGGCTGTTTAACATTGCTTTATGGTGATTCTCACATTGTTCCTTTTTTTTTGGTTCTTGTTCATGACCTGTTGGCAAAGAGGTTAATTAGGCCATTGATTCTCATTTGTTTTAACACTATCTCATGCATGTGATCTGTGCAAACAAGTGTCCAGTAATATTACAAAGTTTATCCAAAATATTGGCATTTTTGGTCCCTTTCCTCGATTTTTGTTTTAAAAGTGCACACTAGCTACATTTTTAAATGACTCCTTTTTGGGCATTCAAGACTTGCTGCATGCTGTCAAAAGTTTTGAGCCCATCGTCCTTATCTGCATGCAGAGGTATGGTTGGAGAGCTAGACTTTGAGTTGTCACTGCTAGAAAAATTTTGAGTAGGTCCTACCTTGATCCATTGCTGTGCGGTTCCAGTTCTTGCTCTCTCCACTAGATCCCACCCTACCCTACCCTACCCTTCTCGTGTCTATGTGAAGCAGCATTTGGACAGCCTTGCTGTATTAATTTTGATTTTACCGTAGAATTGTCCAGGTGTTTCAGAACAATGTTTTTGCATTCATATACTCCAGTCCTTGCAATTGTGCAGCTTTCTTTGCTTGGCATTTCTGTCCCTAGTTATGATTTGAATTGAATTTGGTGAACAAGGATGTTTACTTTGAATTCATACTCCATCTCAATGCTGTAAATCAGAAAAAGTCCTGAGCATGCATTGCGTCATTTGTACAAGGGAGATCAGGTTGTGGCCCTTTTTTTTTCAAATTTTGGACAGCCGCAGCTGATGGTGCTGAGAGCCTCTCTTCAGTCTGTTCTGTTTAAGCTCTGTTGTTAAAGTAACACTTTCCAATCAGAGTGCATGTGAGAGCTTCAGCTCAAGGAGAGCTCTCCTGGTGCCTCTCGTGCCTTCTGCATGAGTTCCATTGATGTAAGATGCTGCTGTGTGCTTGTAAACTTTGCATGGTTTCTGGTGTAAATCGATGTATATTTTGAATTTTCTATCCTTAAACAGTAGAAAGTTATTTTTTATAGAATGAAGGCAGATTTATACTGGAGTTGGATAACTAATGGATTCATTAGAATCACTTGACAGCTCAATTTTGTAAAGTCAATAGGTTGTGTTTGTATATAGTAGGAAACTGACAGAGCAGGTTGAATGTTGATTTCTTTATGGTCAATGCATTCATTAACTTGCACCCAACTAGCCATAAAGAAGATGATACTGTCAATGATTGTATAAATGAAATGTCTTAAAATATTTTGTCTTATCAATGTAGTGACTTAGCAATTGGAGAAAATTGATGCAAGTTGAGTGATATAGCTCATCTTAAACTGTTTTTAAACAAAGTTCTGATCCTGGCTTGTGTACTGCTTCATCACCAGAGCTAATCCTGAGCATCAATACTTGCTGTTTATACAGAAACTGCCCATCAACCAGGGAATAAACATTGCATTGATCATCATGGTAATTAGTGACTGTACAGAAATATGGGTTTGCAATCCTGTATAGACTGGCTTTTCTTGGTGCTGAGGTATGGAATGAATGGTGATGTATTGGTTACCGTAAGCATCCAGGCAGATGTACCAAATAAAATATCTAAAGCAACAAATCCTTGTCTCTGCAAATTTGTCTATGGATAATCACGAACAGCTGGTCCATAAATCAATCTTGACTGTCGTATTGTGAGGGGTAATACCTTAAAGATGCATAGTGCAAATCTACTGCAGGATGTCCAAGCGTCTCCATTCATAATAAAAATAGAAATAACCGTGGATGCTATAAAGCAGGAACAAAAACAAAGTTGCTGGAAAAGCCCAGCAGGTCTGGCAGCATCTGTGAAGGAAAAAAA